CCCCCAACAAGTGCCATCTCCCCTCCCTGCAGAAGGGCAGCTGCCAGGCCTCCCTACCAGGCCCACCCACCTTCCAGCCGGTCTCTGGTATGTTGCCAAAGGGCTCACTACCATCCCCTCTGCTGCCTACTCAATGCATCCTTGCACTTCGCCATGTGGGTTCTCAACGCATCCACATTGTGGCCTGTGCATGTGCTTGCAGTTATAAGTAGCCCTTACTGCTTCCTGGAAATTGGCACCACCCCTCCACCTCCCCACCCCAAACCTAATAAAACAGTAGCCTCTTTAATACATGTCTCTTTTTACTAACGCTGAGTTTGCTTCACAGGAGGGAGTCAGGCCCGAGATCATGCTCAGCAGGGCCCACCCCCACAGGCCAGGTCTGTAGGTAACAGGATGGTCCCCAGGAAAAGGGGGAGGTTCCAGGTGGTCCCCTGTTACCTAGAGGTGAACAGAAGGGCCCCTCCACTGGGCCTGGCAGGGGCCTGGAGCAAGAGTAAAGAGGGTGAGCCCAGCTGGGCGACTCTCCCCTCATGTGCTGGGGCTTTCTGGTGGGTTTAATGAGGCTCTTGGTCCTCCACAGCAACATTTAGAGGCGCTTCTCTGCACCCCAAAGTCACTCTACTAGGCAGATGTGAGATGTGGTGATACTGAGATTCATAAGAAAAAACAACTGGTTTTTTAGTCCCCATTCTTGGCAGTGCTCCAAAAACCCTTCGCATTGCCTAATGAGACTGACAAAGGTGTCTTTTATTATGTTAATGAAGTGAATTTGCAAAGCACCTAAAGGTGGGGCTGGTTGCCAGGGGACCCAGCCTGGGATTAGAGGTTGGAAATTTCATCCCCACCCCCACCTCTGGGGAGGGGAGAGAGGCCAGAGGTTTGATTAATTGCCAATACCGATGAGTCCATCAGTCGTGCTGGGGAATGAATCCCCATAAAGCCCCAAAGGGCGGGGTTCTGAGGGCTCCCCGGCTGGTGAACCGAGAGGCAGTGGGAAGAGCGTGCCTGGGGAGGGCATGGAGGCCTGTACCCGTCCCTGCGCCTCACCCAGGAATCTCCTGCACCCGGCTGCTCCTCACGCATATTCGTTTATATAAACCAGTGATCCCGTAAGTAAAATGTCCCTCTGAGCTTTGGAAGTGACTCTAGCGAATGAGGTCCAAGGAGGTTGTCGTGGGGGCTTCTGATTTGTAACCAACTGACCAGACGCGCCGGTGACCACACAGACTAGGACTGACCCCTGAAGACACAACGAAGGCAGGGAGAGGGGGCAGCCTTACAAGGCCGAGCCCTGCGCCAGCCCGCGGGGTCTGACACTCTGCAGGAGCTAGTGTCAGCATGGAATCCAACTGTAGGACGACCAGCCGGGGTGCCAGGGGATTGCTGGTGGAGGGGAAGCCCCTCCCCACATCGGAAAGTGGGTCCCACACCAGGAGAGGGGCAGCAGCACGATCTTGAAGGCAGAGAAGGTCCCCATGTGGCAGGAGCCAGTGCAACGCAGTGCAGACAAGGGGTCACCCCGTCACAGCTATCAGCACCCCCTGCACCAGGCACGCTGGGTGTCAGTTGCGAGAGGAGCTGGTGCCCTTTCTCAGCGGTGCCCATTTCCTGGGCAGGGGCTACGGGCAATTCTTACTTGCTGGTCAGGTTTCCTCTGGGAGAGCATGAAGTAATGCCAGGTCCTGCCCTTTTCCTGAAAATTCTCCCCATTTTCTGGAATTGCATTTCACTGTTTTAAACCCGTCTCCTCATCCAGGCCCCAGGTGGTTAGGTGCGCAGCTCTGGACGCTCTTGCATTTTCGAGGTGAGTCCCGAACTCTGCAGGGCCAACACTGCCTGGCCAAGGAAATGTTTTCCTTCTCTTTCTTTCCTTAAAAATAAACCACCACCACCAGGGCCAGTCCCGCTGCAGCGGCGCCTCGCAGGGGGCTGGGGTGGTGGTACTCCACGCCTGCAACTGACTCCCGGGGTCAAAACTGGGATCGAGTTCTGATGGAAGGCCGGGAGAAGTCCACACCTGGATAGACCTGGCACGGTGCCCTCTGCCGCCAGGGAGCAGCACGACCCCCGCCTGCTGCTGCTGTGCTCAGGCCTCAGTTTCCCCACCTGCAAACCTAGGATAACTAGCTCAGCACACAATTTCTTTTCAAACACACACAATCTTAAACATACACAGGCTATTACACACAAGGTGTTACACACGCAGCCTAACACACTGACCGACACCACACTCCTCTATTCACAATGTGCCTCCCGATTTGATGAGGAGGGGACAGGGTGGGCCCTGATTGTGGTTGGGGCATCGGGCCTTTAATTCCACCCCACACTCGCAACGGTATGTGATTCAGCGCTGGTTTCCAGGCTGGACAGTGGAGGGCCTTGGGGTGCTCACGCCTATTTTCCTTTTAACTTGGGGAGGAGGTTGGGAAAAGGGAAAGAAGCAGCCTCCAAACCAGGATTCAGGACCCCAGACACCTGACATAGAGATCAGGAGTCCTGGGTCTGGGTTGGCAAGAGGCTGGGGAGCCGAGGCTGGGCCCCAGGGCCCTGCACTTGTGGTGCTGCCTCTGGGGCTTCTCTGCCTCCGGCCCCAGCCAAGAGCTCGCGCTCTGGAGGCTGGGAGGCCGGTTTTGACTGTCGGGGTCGGAGAAGAAATATTTCTGTCTCTGAGGCCCAGTGATCTCCATCCCAGCAACTCAGCCTTGGTCCTGCAGCTGGAGGGCAGCCAGAGACCAGCCCAAAGTGAGTCGGAGCCAGAGCGCCAATGGGACGTATTCACAGGCACCGAACGTGCAATTTCGGGTACTTTTCACCTGCCACGAAATGCTCTTCTTCCTTGGATTTCTTTTAACCATTGAGCAACGGAAGAACCCTTCTTAACTCACAGGCTGTCCAAACGCAGTTAGCAGGTGCCCCCGGGCCGCGGTTTGCCAGCCCCTGCTCGGGCCTCTTGTTACTCCCAGTGCAGACCCTGGACCAGCAGCCTCGGCCTCTGCCAGGAGCCTGTTGGAAACACAGATGGCAGGGCGCGCCCAGACGCCCATTCCAAGTCTGCATTTTAGCCAGGTCCCGGATGACTCATGTCTGCATTAAAGGTTAAAAAAATCCTAGAGCCTGGGTGTCACCCCAGAATTCTAATGTAACAGGTGTGGGTGCAGCCTGATACGTAGGTCTCTGTAAAGCTCCCTGGCTGGCTCCAATGTACCCCAGAGAGAAATCCCGGGGAAAGAGGCCTCTCTCCTTCCGGTTCCCACAGCCCGTCACTCATCCACAACAATGCGTGTCACCTTGTGATTATCTGTCACACTCTGAGCCCAGGAGCCCATGAAATCCTAATTCACGAAGGAGGCACACAGCCTTTTACCGTTTACCCTCTGGGGACCCAGTCTCCTGCAGGGGAGGAGAGGCCCCCTGCTTCTGGCGCTGTGAAGACACTCCCCTGAGCCTGGGGTGGGGGTGGGGGGGCTGCCTTCTGGAGTCTCCACTGCCCCCTCTCCACATTCTCCCCCCTCCAGGCTCAGTGGCCTCGGGCCGGTACAGACCCACTGCCAGGCCTCTGAGGACAGGGGCAAAGGGAGGCAGCCCACCCGTTCAACAGGCCCCACAGAGCCCCAGGCACACACAGATCACACCCCCCCCACAAGCCACCCCCTCTCCCAACCCTCTCCTCCCTCCCACGAGCCCCTCAGCCCAGCCCCACCTCCCTCCTCTGCCATCCCTGGTCACCGACTGGTGTTTCCCTAGAGAAGCCAGTGATGGGGGTGGGTAGCACATCCCCAGGGCCTGCTCTCCCCCAACGCTTCCCCCCAGCCCCCCACAACATGCAGCCTCCCTGCCCAGCCCCAACACAGCACAGCTGGGAAAGCTAGAGGAGCCTCAGAGTCAGCTCTTCATGCACACGGGCAGGGCCCAGAGGAGGAACAGCTGCCCCGGGAGGTGTAAACAGAGGCCACCTTCCCCCTCTCCCCACCACACACAAGTCCTGCTCAGCTCTGGCGGGAGGGGAAAGCCAGAGAGAAGGACCTGCTGGGACCCAGTCTGTGCCGGGGATGGCCTTTGACTCAGAACAGGGTGACCCTGCCCCACCCCCTCCCGCCTGTGTGCCAGCAGGCAGCTGCGCCACTCACCGCCCCCAGCACGGAGGGGAATGGCTACCACACGCTGAGCAGCTACCATGTGCCAGGCGCTGTGCTAAGGGAGCACCACGGTTCTCTAGATTCCCAGTTAAAACGTGATGAGGGGAGGATCAGAGAGGCGGATAGACAGGCCTGAGGCCACACAGCCTGTGAGCAAGTGGTCGGGAGGGTAAAGAGAAGCGTCTAAGCTGGAAGGTGTCTCGGAGGACTCCTCCCTCCCTGAGCTGCAAACAGGCGCCTCTGACTGTCCCCCTCGACTCTCTGGCGAGGCGGGCAGAGGCCACCTGGGCATCCCCGTGTGTACCCTCAGCGATGCTCGCAGGCCCTGGCTGCAGAGGGAAGGAAGGGCTGGGGGCGGGGGCTCACGGGCGGAAGCTCAGCACCTCCCCTCGAGGATGCAAGCACAGCCTCTGGCCAGGCACCCGCTGCCAGAGAGAAGGCCGGTGCCCCGGGGGCGGCCAGGACCGGGCACCTGCCTTGTGACCTGGAGCCTCGGCTTCTTCATCTGTAAAATGGGGCGCCCTATCCAGCGGGGCTGCTGGGAGGAATGGAGAGCGGTTGTGCAAAGGGCCCTGCACAGGTGACACACACAGTCGGCTCTGGGAAGGACGCCCTCCTGAAAGAGCAGGGAGCAAGCTTTCCCTCACAAGGAAAAGAAGGGAGGCTTCCCTGGCTCAGAGCCTCCCGGAATGTGGCTCCCTGGCGCCCAGCCCCTCCGGAGCCCATCTTTAATTAGCTTTCAACTAAAAATAGCCCTCTGGGCTGCACACCTGCCTCCCGACCTGGCAGGGCACGCCTGAGCCACGTCTGCTAGGGGCGCCGGGGGGTCAGCCAGCCTGTGACAGAACCCATAACACGGGCGGGTGCACGGAGCAGGAGGCTTTATTGAAGGGGATACAGAACTGGGTGAGGCTCCTGCCGTCCGCCAGGCCGTGGCCTCCATCGCCCGTGCTGCCCGTGACCTCCGGACACCCCTCCCTCACCCCGCTCCTGGACAACACAAAGGGGTCTTACCCAGCCTCATCACAGGAGCCCAAGGGGGCCTTCAGAGTCCTGTTCAGGAGAGGGTTGGGGGGCAAAGTTCAGTCCCTCCGGGCAGTCCCTGCCTGGCTCGTCACACCCGTCCCACCGTCCTCCGGGCCTCGATGCCCGTCACTTGCAGCTCTGGAGCCGGGTCCTATGGTGCTTCTCCTCGGTCAGGAGGGGGATGAAGGTGTCGCTGTGGGAGATCTTCAGGCGGCTGCTCCAGCTCGGGCCCTCCTTGCTGGCAGGCTCGGGCGGGAGGTTGTCCAGGTCACCGCGGGAGCCCCCTGCCTTGCCCTCCCCGGCACCGCTGGAGTTGAGCTCCATCAGCTCCAGCTCGTGCTTGGCCGCGGTCTCCAGGACCCGCTGCTTGTTGTAGTACCTGACGAAGTTGTTGATGATGGGGTGGATGGGCAGGGCGATGGCGATGACCCCGCACAGGAAGCTGATGGCCGCGTTGAGCTTGCCCAGCGTGGTCTTGGGGTAGATGTCTCCGTAGCCCACGGTGGTCATGGTGATGATGGCCCACCAGAAGGACTGCGGGATGCTCTTAAACAGGGTCTCCGGGTGGCTCTGCTCCATGGTGTAGCCCAGGGCAGAGAAGACGAAGATGCCCACGGCCAGGTACATGAGCAGCAGCCCCAGCTCCTTGAAGCTGCGCTTGAGGGCGTAGGTGAGGGTCTGCAGCCCCGACGAGTGGCGGGCCAGCTTGAAGATGCGCGCGATGCGCATGATGCGCAGGGCCTGCACCGCCTGCTGCACGTTGGTCAGCTCCATCATGCGCGCGCCCAGGTGCGTGAGCGTGAGGCTCACGTAGAAGGGCAGGATGGCCAGCACGTCCACGATGTTCATGAAGGACAGGGCGAAGTGCAGCTTGTTGGGCGAGGCGAAGAGGCGCAGCAGGTACTCCAGCGTGAACCAGCCGATGCACGCCGTCTCCACGTTCTCCAGCGTCGGGTGCTCCACGCGGTTGCCCTCGGCGTCCTGCACCTGCAGCTCGGGGATGGTGCCCACGCACATGACCACGGAGGAGATGAGGATGAGCAGGAAGGACAGCACGGCCACCACCCGCGCCGGGCACGACGACTCGGGCTTCTCCAGGAACTTCCAGACGCACTTCTGGCAGCGGCGCCAGCGGCCCTCGGCCGCGTCCACGCCCAGGTCGTCCAGGATGAGCTGCACGCGGCGCGCGATCTCCTCCAGCTCCTCGCGCTTCTCGCTCAGGTGGCTCTTGCAGCAGTCGTCGAGGAACTTGAGGTCCACCTTCCAGAAGTCCATCTCGTTCTTGAAGCAGATGGGGCAGATGCCCTTCTTCATGTGCACCTCCCCGAAGTAGTACACCTCGATGACACACTTGAAGGCGTCGGGGTCGCGGTCGAAGTAGAACTCGCGCTTGCCCGGGTCGTAGTCGTCGCACAGGGAGAAGATGGTGTCGTAGCCCCCCGCCAGGCAGTGGATGAGCTCCGCCAGCCGCGTCTCGGGGTACCGGCTGAGCAGGTCTCCGTACAGCACCTGCCGCACGCCCCCCACGTTGACGACGATCTCGATGTCGTCGCCCGCCCGGGAGTCCTGGCTGCCGGGCTCGGGCTGGGGCTCGGGCTGGGGCTCGGGCTCGGGCTCGGGCTGGGGCTCCGGCTCCGGCTCCGGCTCCGCGAGGCTGCGCTCCTGCGCCCCATCCATGCTGCCCGCCGCGGCCCTCGCCGCCTTGGCTCCGCGCCCTGCAGCCGCGGCCGGCGATGCGGGGGTCCCGGGAGCGCGGCCGGCCCTCGAGGGAAGCCGGGTGGGCGCCGCGCGCGCGGGGGGCGGTCACGGGCGGCAGCCGCGGGCCGGGGCGCGCCGCGGGGGAGGCGAGCGCCCGGCGGGGCTCCGCGCGGGCATCCGGGCGCCGGGGCGCGCGGGCGGGCGGGGCGCGGGGCGGCTCTCGCGGTCGCGGGTCCCGCCCCGGGCACTCACCCCGGCCCCCCGGCCGCGCGATCCGCCGCCGGGCTCGGCTTCCCGCGGGAAGGCGCTCCGGGCGCGCGGCGGGCTCGGTCCTCCGCCGGGGCGCGCGGGCGGCGCGGGGGTCTCCGAGCTGCCGCGGCCCCGCGGGCGCCCCCCGCGCCGGGCGAGTGCGGGCGGCCGGCCCCCCGCAGCCGGGAGGAGCGCGCGGAGCGAACTTGGGCTCCGGCGAGCCGTCAGGAGCACAAAAGGAATTCCAGCCTGACGTCAGGAGCTCTCCAAACTGTTCCCTCTTCTGGTGAGACTCTGCAAGGCACGCGCGCGGCTGCAGGGGCCGGGTTAACCCGTGGGCAGGCGGGCACGGCGCGGGGTCCCCGGGCCAGCGCCCCGGGCTTGCGGCGGCGGGCGGCGCGCGCTGGAAGTTGCTCCCTCCCCGCTGTTTCTCCAAGACTGGAAGAACCGGCTGCCTGTTGCTCGGCAGGAGAACGTGTCCGCGAAATCCCCTTCAAAGACAGCGCCCCGACCGCTGCCCTCCTGCGGCTGGTGCTGGAAGCTTCCCCGCCCCTCCCTGGTGCTGCCCCAGCGCGCCTGGCACCTTCTCACCTTCTCCGAGGAGAGAAGGGGTTTGCCCGAGGCCACCCAGTGAAGTGGAAGCAAAACTCAGCCCGGCTGCCTCTTCATCCCGAACGTTCCCTCGCTCCCTGCTAACTGCCCCAGCTGCTGAGCACCTTGGAATTTGCTTTGAAGTCCTTGCTGGTCTCCCTGTCCATTTCTCGGGGGTCCAGCACCTCTGAGGCCCCTGGGTCCCCCCTCTGTCACCAATGCCTGCCTGACCTTCCTGCACAGAGCCCCACGCCGCGCCCCTCCCAGCCTGGCAGCCACGCGGCCCTCACTCCCCGAGCACTGCAGCAGCTGCCTGTAGCCTAACACACCTACTCCCAGCTCCCCGGCCAGCCTCGGCCTGACCAGCACTGCAGGCTCTTGGGCCGCGCCTGTGGACTGGAGCCTGTGTTTAAAAAAGATCCTAGAGAGAGCGATGAATAGGCAGAGCTTGGAGGATTTTTAGGGTGCGAATGGCTGTGTGACACTGCAGGGGAAGATGCCTTCATTAAGCATTTATCCAAGCCCAGAATGTGCCCCTGGAGTGAACCCCGATGTAAAGGGACTGTGGACCACCATGAACTGGCAGCCTGAGCTCATCAGTATGAGAAATGGACACCTCTCTCGTAGTGCATATTCAAAGTGGGGGAGGCTGGGCTTGGGGGGTGGGCAGGGCAGAGGGTATATGGGAAATCTCTGCTTTCTGTTTAATTTTGTTGTGACCCAAAAATAGCTCTTAAAAAATCAAGTCTATTCCAAATATATTCTGTAGGCTGGGGGTGGTTAACTTAAAGTTCTATCATGAAATCAATCTGCCTAGTACTTTTTCCTCTCATGAGATAGTATAAAACTGAGTATATAGAGCATATCACACAACCTATGTTTGGGTGAAACATATTTTTACTTTTTTTTTTTTTTTTTTTGCATTTCCATTTAAGATTTGAAATGGCGTGGCACCACAGAGTAAGAAACTGGGGTTCAGAGGGGAGTAATAGAAATGTTAACACTGAGTTTGCGTTCTTCGAGCAAGGGCTTCCTGAAAGGCTTTGTGCTGTTCTCATTCAACCCCCACAGCATCTCTCTGAGGAATCAAGATGTCCGGGAACCCACCACGATCTCTCAACTCACAGATGGCAAAGTCAGGAGTCTGCCCCTGGTCACCCACTGCCATGGCCACACACGTCACCTCCCAGGTCCTGGTCGCCCAGCTGATGGGGGTGGGGGGAGCTAGGATTTGCCCCTGGCCTGTGCATCTCTCAATATAGGCCATCAGCTGCCTCCCCTCACACCCCAAAAGCATCTTCCAGTGCTTTCTGTGTTACTTCCCTCCTCTGTCTTCAGTTGCTTCCTAATACCCGCATGACGGTGTCCAAATTGCATCTCAGTTTTAGCTTCTTTAATGGGCTTAAAAACACCATTCACTCGATCATCTATTCAAATATTTATTGAGCCACCGTGGCAAGCGCACACACCCCAGTCTAGGGGACAGGGTTCATACTGTAGTGGAGAAGACAGCATTTGTAAGAAGCAAACAGTTGTGCAGTCATCAGTGTAGCAGAGCTACGCGGCAGGGCAGGGGTGGGGGAGTCCTGAGTTTCCCTAAAGGGGGCACTGAGCGGTGGCCGTCTGACTGGTAAGTGGGGCTGCAATTACTGGACACTGGGTGCATGGTGCCTTCCCTCTGGCAGGTAGAGCGCCCAGCCCCGTGTCCAAGTGCCGAAGGCTCCAGGAACTGCAGACACCTGGCCGGCTTTGCCTGGTGTGTGCCCACCTGGGAGAAGGCTGCTTGTGCCTAGGCAGGGCTGGCAGCCCCTATGGCTGACAGGCCAGGCTGGAAACAGACCGCCAGGGGGTCCCAAGAGGAATCTGGACTCTGAGTCAACTGCTCAGTCCCCAGCGATTGATTTAAGCAGCGTGGGGATGGGGTTGCAGAGACTAGGAATATCACTCACGGTGAAAATAATAGCTCGGATCTCAGCTCAGCAGTCACCCGTGCCCCACAGATGTGTGCGAAGGGAAGGGAACGTGTTGACGAGGCAGTTCCAAAGGCCCTGGGGTCTCTGAGGGACCTTCATTTGTGAGGTTTTCACCCCACAGGGCTGAGCATGGTGGTGAGCAAGATGGAGTCCTCTGGGCACATCCATACTCGCTGTTACTCTGGGGGGTGAGAATCACCTGGGGGCTGAGCAGGGACAAGCCCTGGCAGGGGGACAGGTTGGTGGGTGACAACAGGATGGTCCTTTTGTGTGGAGAATTCAGCCCTTTGCCCTGCCAGCCGGTGTGGCCCATGGCCCAACTTCCTAGCCGCTTCCGCCCTGGGCCTCAGAGCATTAGCTACCAACATGCCCGCATCCAGAGTACCCTGCCCTCCCCAGGTCACCCCCCAAAGGTCACTCATCCCCCAGGGCCTCTGCACTCACCTGGCCAGAGCCTCACTTGCAGGTTCCTTCCTGCCAGTGCTCCCTCCCGGTTTGCCACCCACCTCCTCGGAGAGGGACCTAATTCTGTCCCCCAAGTGTATTGGAGAGGGGGCCTTCAAGGAGGTAATTTAGGTTAGATGGGGCCAGAGGGGGAGTCCTGATGCGATAGGGCTGTGCCCTTGTAAGGAGATACACCAGGGATCTCTGCACACACACGGGACACAGCAAAAAGGCCATCTGCAAGCCAGGGAGAGAGGCCTCCCAGGAGCCTAACGGCACCCGCCTCTGGGCTTCCAGCCTCCAGGGCTGTGAGCAAATGCATTTCTACTGTCTCAGCCCATGTCAGCTGTCTGCGGTGCTTTGTTATGACAGCTGGAGCAGACCGAGACATTCTTCCTCTTCCCTCACGCCTGCAAAGTCCTGTCTAGACTTCCTGCTTGCTTCTCCCATGTCCTCCAGGGCTCTGGACACAGACCCTTCATCATCTGACCTGTAGGCCCTGAGTGGATTTTGTGGAGCCTGAGGCTGGAGAGACACCAACGGTTAAGAAAACAAACACTCCTCTCTGCTGCCTTCTCAGCGCAGGTCGCTCATGCACCGAAACTTGAGCTGAGCTGAGCCATTGAGAATTTCCTGAAGGACTGACCCAAAGGAAAAGCCCAGACTTTGGGGCTAAAAATGAAGTTTCTTGCTGTGTTATATTCAGTCCTGATTTTATTTCCATCAGAATTGTACATTTTGTGATTTCGCGGGGTGGGGGGGGGGGTGCCGAGGGAACACAAAACCTTCTATTAGACACAAAAAGAAGAAATTTTGACTCACGTGGGTTTTTATTTAAATAGGGAAGGGAAAAAACCACCATCTATTTAAGTATTATGAGAAGTGAGTGTTTGCACTGCATTTTCTTTATTAAATATGTATTTTTTATTTGTTGAACAATAACACTCGGGGCTGCAGAATGCTTAATTTCACGGTGCTAATTAAAACCAGCACATGTGTATCTAAGTGATTTGTCTAGACAACAAATGATGCAAGCTGTAATCTCGTCCCTTTACACGGAATAATCGCTTCTGTTCTGTTAAAATGTCTCTGTGTTTTGCTGAATTTAATAATACCTTTCGTTGAGATGCAGTTCTGTTCTCTAGCAAGCATGTACATTTCGTTGTTTGCTGTGCTCCTGTCAGCACCGCTGCAGGCCCCCCCGACTCGGGCCCCCAGGATTGACTGGCCAAGGACCCGGGCTCCTGTCTGATCAAGTGTCCCTGGAAGTCACGTGCAGGAGCCCCAGGGGAAGGGGCATTGCATGGAGAACAGGGGTCAGGGGAGAATGAGATAGAACTGAATCGTGGGGAGACTTTGTCCCAACTCCTGAGCTTTTTTCATTCCTATGCCTCAGCTTTTCACGTGCGAAGTGGAACTAGTCACCCTTCTGGACTCCAAGATCTTATAGGAACAAATATCGCGGTGGTGTGAAAGGGCTTTCTGAGCTATAACACGCTGAGAATGTGAAGCAAAGGGAGGAGGAACGATGTGAGCAGCAGGGAGGGGAGAGAGGAGGAGGGACTTGAAAGGAAGGGGGCGTGGGAGGGGAGGGGAGGGAGAGACCCAAAAGTTTCCCGAGCCCCAGCCCCACTGCGACCCGTTTCCTCTGAGTCCCTGTGCCTCCCCTCCCTGCTCCTTTCAGCAGTGAGTCACCCAGCCGGGGGTGGGTGGGAGGACTGAGCAGGTGACAGGTGTGCAGACCCATGTCAGAGACTTTGGACGCAAGCAGGTGCCCTGGAGGTGTGGGAGGGACCCCCTCTGGGCTTGAGATTGGGTTGCTTTGCCTTTCTGAAGGAAGGAAGATCACAGGAAACAAAGGAGGGTCTCTGCAGGCCTCACCAGTCTGGAGCAGGCAGTCCCTGGGAGAGGCTGGGATGCTCTCTGTTTGAGCTGGCTTTTAATGCACACTGAGAGTGGAGGGGAAAACATTCTTTAAAAAAAAAGAAGTTCTGGGCCTCCCCTGTGACCCAGCGCTTAAGCACTGGGTTGCGAAGCTGCCTGCAGCCTCTGCAGCTCTGGTTTGATCCCCGGCTGCTCCCCCGCCAGCGGAGGAGGGTCCCGCATGGCGCACAGACCTGCTCCCCTCAGCAGTGTCCTTCGGTCCTTCTGCCTGCTCTGCTCCCCGCTCTGGCTCTGGTGAATTCTCTCGCCCTCCCGCGCTTCTGACTGTCCCCAGTGCTTGCATAAATAATAAAATAAATAAATCTTTAAAAAAAAGTTCTTTAGCATTTTCCTTTTCTTGAATTGCAAAATTAATATATATTCACTGTAAAAATAAAAAATATAAAGCCCGGTATTTGCATCCCCCAACTCCCCTACTCCAAGTTCAGCACAGCAGAGGAGGACCTGGTCTCTGTTACTGCCACAAGTTCAACAGTTTAAAACATTTATCAGGCCAGGAATCGGGCCAAGGCTTAGTTGGGTCCTCTGCTCAAGGTATGGGCGGGGCTCAGGTCTTGTCTGAAGCACAGGCCCCTTTTACTGCTAATGTGGGAGAATTTGTTTCCTTGCAACTGTAGAACTCATGGAGGCTTCACCTTTGAGGCCAGCATCAGGACTGCTCTCATCCCAGCGAGGGCCCAATTCTCCTTGAAGACACTCGCCTGATTAGACCTGGCCCACTTAGAAGAATCTCCCTTTTGATTAAGTCACACACATGATTACATTAATATTTACATTAGCACCCCCCCATGAAATACTAGGGTACAAGTCTAACAAAATTTGTATAAAATCTATAAGAGGAAAACTATAAATCTGATGAAAGAAATTAAAGTAGAACTAAGTAAATGCAGAGTTATTCCATGTTCATGGATAGGAAGACTCATCAAGATGTCAGTTCTTCCCAAATTGATCTATAAATTCAATACAATCCCAATCAGAATCCCAGGGACATGTTTGGTGGCTATTAAGATATTGGTTGTAAAATTCATAGGAGACGCAAAAGACCAAACTAGACAACTCAATATTGAAAGAGAAGAACAAGGTCAGAAAATGGACACCTTCCGAAGTTAAGACTTACATAAAACTGCACTAATTCTGCGCACTGCCGAATTCCCACTCTGTCAAAAGGCAAAACTGCAGAGATGGTGAGAACATCAGTGGTGGCAGGCGGGGGCACGGGGAGAGGGCCGAACCCGCGAGCACTGAGGATGTCTTCTGATTCTGCATCGACATCATGTGGCTACGCAGGTGTCCGGGCCCACGCACCACACCCAGAGTGAGGCCTGGTGTGTCCATGGCCGTACTTCCATGGTAACAAATGCACCCCCTGGTGGGGCTGTTGATGATGGGGGATGTTACACCCTGAGGGGAGGGGTGTATAAGAACACTACACTTCCCACTCAATTTTGTGACAAACCTAAAACTGCTCTTTAAAAAATAAGCTGTTTTTTTTTTTTTTTTTAAGTAACTAGTTCATGATTTGGGAACGAATCTGTCTGGGGGGTGTGTCACTGCCAGTATTTTCCACAGAAGATCAGCTGCCTTGTCGGCAATGGGTCCGGATGGGTGGAGGCTCCAGGCCCTCCTCATACCCCAGCAAAGAGCCCTGGGCCCCGAGGCCCTCAGAGCTGCTTTGGGAGGTATTTGACAACCGCTGGTCTCTTGGGTCATCAGCTCCGTATCTGCTCCTGGCCAGAGAATGGGGAGTGGGGGGCAGGGGGACACGCTGGGTCAGATGAGGAGAGGAAGGACCTGCCGGGGGAAGTGGAAAGGGAAGGTGAACGTGAGCTTGAGCAGAGTGGGAGGAGGGAAGGTGGATGGGAGGAAACAGAAAATTCCGGAACATCTTCTCATGTTTTGGAGAAATGTCATGTCAGGCAGGACTTGATAATTACTGTCATTTGTGGGATGTTTCAGTACAAGAGAACCAAATAATCCTGGTGACATGAGCTCAGCGCCTTCTCCAAGTCGGCATCCAGCCGCCAGACGCACACGGTGTAAGTGTCCTCCCAGCTTGCCTGGTCGTACCACGGGCTGCACGACAGGGCCCTTTGGGGAATAGAAGCTTCTGCCTCATGTGGGGTGACAATCACATGGGACCTCATGTGTGTACAGATGGACCCTCGGAGGCGCCGGGTTTCCAGAGAGCTTGGAGCCCCAGAACCTCAGAACTGGAAGGAAACTCAGCCTCGGCGTGGATTCCTCCAGGGCCGGGAGCTCAGGACATGCAGGCAGTGGGGAGAGGTGCAATATGAAAACTCTAGGGGAGAAAAGGGACCTTTTTCTACTTCCTAAGAAGAAGCCACGCCTTGAAGCTACAAAGGCAACATCCACCTAGGCTGGCTGGGCGCCTCTCAGAAGACTAAGCTCGAATCTTCCTCAGGCACCTGCTGGCCATGTGACCTAGGGCAGCCCCTCGTCACCTCTTTAATAAGCAGATAATAGGCTCTAGGTGATTTTTCTGAGCGAGAAAGAAAGCACATGGTCTTTTTTCATCAGCATCTATTTTTCATCATCCCAGGGCGGAAATGGGACCCGAGCACTCAGGTATGAGCCTGCTGCTAGAGGGATCTGGAAGCTTGGAGGCGCCTGGCCTGTCCTGAACCCACACTTCGTGACTTGTGTCTTAGAAACCTCTGAAATAAACTTCATGCTTTCAAAATATCCACAGATAAATGGCAGGGAGGTGTTAGCAACCTGCGAAAGGGGTTTCCAAAATAGATTCAAGCCCTCAAGAGACAGATTGGACCAGGATCTGCACAGCCTCGAGCTCTGGACCATTTGTCAGGCTCCAGCCTCCCTCATGGCTCCCCCAGGTGGGCCACCTGGACAGGCACCACAGATGCTCCACCGCCCTGCCCAGCACTGGGGGATGGGGGTTCATCT